AAAAAAAATAGGGGGGCGCACCCCCACGTAAAAAAAAGGGGGGCCCCCCCCCCCCCCCCCCCCCCCGGGGTGGGGGTGGGAAATTGGGGGAAATTTTTTTTTAAGAGCACCGCCCCCATTTTTTTGTTGCGGGAAAGGGGTTTTTTTTTCCCCCCCCCCCCCCCCCCCCCCCCTTCAAAAAGGGGTGGAAAATTTTTAAAAAGGGGGGGCCCCCCCCCCCCCCCCCCCCCCCCTGCCTGCCTGTCGACTGTCCTCTCCTCTCCCTGGCCGGTGCAACAAACCCGAATACAAACAACAATCAAATGTGAAAACTCAGCTGCTGCTCTTCCACCATCCTGACCACGGGGGTCGACTGCGACGTGGGCGTCGTGGCCCCTTGCATCATGCTCAACGGCACCTACACGGACGCCCCCATGGCCGCCCCGACCTTCCCGCCGGTGGCCGCGCCCGGAACCACCGTGGCCCCGGGAGCCGTCGCCACCACGGAAGCCCCTCTCGCGGGGACCCGGGAGTTCCAGTTCACTCAGGCGCCTACCCAGCTACTTGACGTGAACGGTGGGTCTCTCTTTGTGTGCTACATGCTGGCAGAGTACAGTAGATAGAAGTACCCAGAATTGAACCCAAAAAAATCTATTTTGTGTGTTTTTTGTATTGAGCCGTGTCGTTGATTGGACCGCAGCAAGAAAAAATGAGCGGCAAGCACGTTGTAGTAGTACATGTTGATTTTTTGGCCCGGCATGTGAAGGTGACTGTCTTCGGTTCTTGTTGTGCTCTTGTTTCTGTGCTCTTGTTGTAGAGGCCAGGTCAGACGTGGCACTAAAGGAAAAGCTCTCCCTGAGCTCCACCGCCACCCCTACGACATGCGCGGTTAGGCAGACCCTGTATTCCCGCAGTCAATTAATCATGTGGAATGTTCAATTCTTGTGAACTGAAATCTAGAGCCTTCTTGAGCGTCTCTCTCTGTCCGGCGGTACATCGCCTTTTTTGTTACCTGGGCATCAGTCGGTGTGCCGTTTTCTGGTGTTTCACCCCGTTCCTTGTCCTCACGTCTAGAGCGTTGAGCAAGCAGGCATGCAGGCGGGTACGTGTGTTTATGGACGACCTTGATCTGTGGTTCTTGGCGTCCTATCATAGTATCTAGTATCCATATATCCTGAGCTATATCTCCCTCCCTTCGCGTCCGTCCGTCCGTTCGTCGGTACGATGCTGCCGACGCCAGGTGACGGGCTGGTCAACTCCGCGGACACCGGGATCGTGGGCGACACAAACGGTAAGGTGCACACCGAAAGCATGTTCGCCTGCGTGTAGCCGTGGAGCTCAACTATTCCGTGTTGATGCTGTTACGGGAGGCATGCTCACATCTGTCGCTTCCCTCATCTCACGCGACAAGCTCACCGACTGCGAAGCTTTGTTCGAGCCGACAACCCTGCGTCCTTGCACGTGGCTGACTCGTCCTCACCGCCCTCCCCCCCCCCCCCGTCGTTGGCCTCTCCTCACATTTTAAGCGAAGGGGTGGTCGATTCGATGGATGAGGTGGTGGTCCTTTCCGCTTCCCCCACCGCCGCTCCTACTCCCGCCGCCACCACCGCCGCTCCTACTCCCGCCACCACCACCGCCTCCCCTACCCCGGGCGGGGCCGCGGACGGCACCCGCGACATCGGCGACGTAACCGACGCGCCCACCCCGTCGCCCGTCAGAGAGACGTCGTCGCCGGCGGACACTAACGGTGAGAGTGGAGGAGAGGAGAGGAGAGGAACGCAAGGGAGGAGACAGCTTCTAGGTCGAAGGTCGAAGAACCTCCCTCGCGTTAAACGCTGTCTTTTGTCTTTTTTTGCATAGCCTTTTTGGTGATTTTCTCTTGTCGTTGTTGTCGGCACCCCCCTCATCTTCTCGAGACTCGACAGCAAGACGGGGCTCGAGAGGTGGTGCCTCCCCCGGCACCTACTGACATCCCGGGTATAGTCTCTTGGCTGCCTGTTTGATGTGTGGCCATGGGGTGCTTAGCGCCTTGTTGGTGTTAACAACACGGGAAGCCGCCCGTCCTACACCAACGGTCCCTGCTTTTTTTTTGCTCTTGGTATTTTAGTGTTTGTCGCAGCCGCTTTTTTCTACTCTCTGACCCTCCACGTCGTGGTGACCCCGCTCTTTTGTCTGACCAGGTGATGGAGTCATCGACTCAGCGGACGGCGTCGAGGCGACCCCCGTTCCCTCAGCCACCGACGACGCGGACGCCACGGCCGAGGGCAACGGTGCCGTGTCCATGACCAGGCTCCCCACGGGTGGGTCCGCCTGCGTCGGCGTGGTGGTTGCTGCCATGGCTTTCGGCGGCATGCTCCTCTAAGCCGTGGCGTGTGAAACGTCTACGATTGAACGGGGGGTGGGGGGGGGGGGGGCTGGGGCGTTCTCTCTCTTCTTTCTCTTTGGGCGGGGTTGACGTCGACACCTTTGTCTAAAACGGCGTGAGAGTCGCCCACATGTACGGCGGTGCAAATATGCGGGCTCTCTCCTGCTTTGGGGGGGCGGGGGGGGGATGGCGTCGGTCGGGGGCAGACGGGCCCCTCATGTTGAGACCGCCATGCACCCTGCCCGTTGTTGGTGTTGGTGTCGTTGTTCCAGTCCACGATTACGATTCGCTTTGTTCACGAAAGGGGTTTCATTCGCTTCCCCGTAGGCACTAGATATTGGTGTATGCGTCCTTCCGTTCCCCCTGTCCTTGCGCTGCTGGAAAAAAAAGAAAATTCCCTCATGCTTGTTTCCTGAGCGCGCGAGGTTGTTGGTTTTGCTTTGGGGGAAGGGGAGGGTGCACAGCTGTAAGCGGCACTCGGGGCACAACGCTCTCTGTTTGAATGACGGCCGGGTTTGAACCAATGATACCATCAAGTTTTGTTATTGTTCTGGGGCAGGCTTTGCAGCACGCGGGGAGGGGGGGGGGTGACGGGGCGGAGTGAAAATGAACCGAGCGGGACTTCTGGCGTGCGCTGCTGGAAGGCACGGTTGATCAAGCACTCAGTAGCGTAAGGAGTAGCGTGCGCGGATTTTCTCCTTGTGAGATAACTCCAGTCGGAAACATTCCGACGGTGATTCGTCCGCCCGCATTGCGGCGGAATTTATTCATGATGTATGACAATTGCTCGTGGTTTTGGAGTGAACCAGTTTTTGTACCATGGAAGGTTTCATTTTGAAGCCATGGCGGGGGGGGGGGAGAGTACCGGTTGTTCAGCGTTGATACGAGACAGCATGTCCGTGGTCCTGTTCTCTAGCGTCTAATTTGTTGTAGCCTGTCTCTTGTGGAATTTCACCGCATTTGATCATTTGCTCCGCCGCTCTTGTGGGGCGGTTGGGGCCTGGCGAATGTGGAAGGTCTCATTCCGAGGCTGGTTCCGATTGTAGAGGTGACTTGGTAGGTGCCCTTCCTTGTTGCCAGGAGTATCTGCAATCCCGTATTTATTCTGTGTACAAGTAGACCATTGGGTTTGTAGAGACCATGCCTTCTGTTCGCCTCCCTGAAACGCCACGGGTAAGGCAAGGCTAGTGAGCGAAGGTGTGCAGGAACGTGGATGGCCTTGCGTGCGTAGGCTCAATGTAGGACAAACGAGGCGTAGAAGTTAGAGGTTGTTTTCGTTGTCTTTGGAGCGGATCATCACCAAGGAACTGTTCTGCGTGCCTTTCGCATCGGAGGCACACGCAGGCATTATGAAGATTTGCGATTCCCAGGCACCGGTGCGTTTGACTCCCACACGTTGTTTCCCCGGCCCTATTTGTTGAATTGTTACGTGTGTGTTGTACTTTTTTTGCGAAGCTATGACGTCTTTAAAACAGCCAGTAACGGAACAGTTTTTTTTTCATCTTTCAGCATGACATCATCTGCCCGAGTTCTTACCACTGGAAACCATCACACAGGACCGATGGTGCAGAGGGCAAGTCGTGAAAAATGAAGCTCACGACTGCAATTCGTTGTTGAATGAAGGGTTAACCGGAAGCCCCAACTCAAATAAATCTTACTGCTGCCTAGGGAACCTCTACTACCTACTCGCACAGGCTCCCGACGCGATGGCACGGTAACCTCGCAGAGTTCACTACGTGCAAATAGTTCTGCCTCCCAAGTACAGGCACAAAGCTTTTGACTGGGCTCATTTGGCGCATCGACTAGCGGCACTATTTGAGACCATTTGTGAGCCGCCAACTTTTTTTTTCACTTCACTGCTGTGTCCTGCGTACTCTACCCGCGTGCTGAACGCAGGTCCTACACACGGGCCCGAAGACCCAAACTTGGGGTGGTATGTGGGTTTCGACCCCGAAGAGAGAAGAAAAATATTAGGAGAAAATGAGAGGGGAACGAAACCGATGACGATGGCAAAGGATGCGGGCAGCAAGATCCGACCTGCAAAACCTTTTGTAAAGTCAGACATGATTTGCGCCCTCTACCGTTACGCATGAAGGAAAACAAACTTCGTTCCGTGTATGTAACATGTACCCACGCAGGTACCGAATACTTTGTGTGTGCCAACAACGTTTGGTGCAAAGCCCGAGATTCTTCGTGTGTGTGTAGACTGCAGATGCATGGCACGCCTTTCCGTGGGAAGGACTACAGGCCTAGTTTTATTTTTCGTCTCCACCGTCAAGAATAAATGCACGCTATCCAAAGTGGATGCCTGCATAGATGCCGCGGAACCGTATTCGGCCATGTGTTTGCTGTCGGTCTGCACCCTGCCTACAACATGAAGTTGTACAGCCGCAGCTAGTTGTGGCCGGGCCGGCATGCAGAGTCTGGTCACAAGGCGCATACCAGGCTTCCACAAGCTCTTCTTCTTGCTCTCGTTGCTGCCGATGTGGAACATGTCGTACGACGGCCCCCGTCTGTTGAAAGCTAAGCATGTACCCCACTTGGCGGCTGTGTTCTTACCAGGTCAAGACACCCAACGCCCATCCACTCAGTCCGCAGAATTAGTGTTGGGCCAACACGTTCGTTCCTGATCAGATCAACCACGACGGCCCTCTGGTACTTCTTCTTTCACCTCCAATAGCCCGTCAACTGCAACAAGCTGATAGGACCTGACCCGCTGTCTGTCCACGTCGTGCGCGTCGTCCGCCCCCCATTGCAGCGGAAGCCCACGGCTGCCTCCAGGCCCACATATGGCATACGGCCCACAGCACGCCAAGCTCAATGACTGGCGGGTGTTCACGATTGGTTTGCACGTTGACGTCAACGCCGTACTGCAGGAGCGAGAGCATTGCCCCGCGGCTAGAGGTGTAAATCCATGATCGCCGCACCGCCGCTCCATGTCAGCGCCCGCTTCAATCAGCGCGCTGATGGCGCGTCCTTGATCATGCTCAGCAGCAACGTGGAGGGGAGTGACGCCATCAGGCTTGTCAGCGCCGTTCGGGTCCGCCCCACGCTTAATCAAGGAGAGCTTTTCGACCGTGTCTTGCGCAGTATTCCGAGCAACCCTGATGGCGCAAATATGATGAAGAGCCCCTCACGAGTATGACACGTCGCGAATGTTGACATCGGCATCGGAGGCTAGCAGGGTCTCTACCGCCGAAGTCTTACTTACTGCCCAAAATCAGCGGGGACGACCCCCGCCATTGATTGTCGAGAGCATCCTTGCTCGCATCGCTGAAAAAAGGACGTTATTATTCCATCCTAGGCGGCTGCATGATGGAGCGGGGTTCACCTCGCACGTCCCGACTGCGAACGCTTGCTCCGGCCAGCACCAGATCGATTGCAATGGCTGATGAGCGTGCCCGCCGCAAATGGCGGACGTGAGGGCGTCGAATGAGTTCAAAGGGCCTCGAAAGTTCACGTTGGCTCCGGCAAGTATCATCAACTCCTTGGTGACAGCCATGTCGCCCCGAGATGTCAGTTGTGGCCTTGTAAAGAGCCGATCTACCCGAGATGGCCGACACCACCTTCACATCCAGCCGGGATCATCTGCGAAGCGCGGCAGACAGGACGCCCAGGAAATGGCGGCATCGATCATTTTGTCCGTCGCATCCCGTCGAACCAGCGGTGAAGCTGGCGCCGGCACCGAGCAAAGAGTTGAGAAGGTCCATCCAGCCGACCGCTAGCTGAGTGGGGCATGTTCCAGATGCACCATATGCCATGCCTTAACCCCTGGTCGGGCGTTGCTCCTTGAAGAACCACTGCTGTGGGTCAAACAGCTCGGTCGCTACTGTAAACCTCGCAATGGCTGACGGTTGGGATGGGTAAACACCTCTTGGTTGTTGTTGTGCCGATTGCTCACAGGGCCATCTCGCCGGAGGCTTGAGCTGCCCACTTCTTGTTTCCCGTGGGCTTCCCACGCTTGAAACGCGCTCAAAGGGCGTCAGTAATCCTGATCTTGTCGCCTACCGCAGAAGAGTGGGGTTGTGGGTGGATGGGTAACCTTGCACTTACGTTGTGAAGTTGTGAACTTGAACGGCTGTGTGCGCAAAATATCCAGGCTGCGGGGTGACAGTCCCGACCGACGGCCCCGCAAAATCGGTGAATGGTGAAGTCAACCAGCGCACAGCACCCGGACACCGGACAGCCAAGCGAACCAGAGCAGTGCATCAGTGGAAATTCCTAGTGGTGCTTACGCTCGCGAGAGACTGCACGTGAAGTTTATATATATATCCCTTGCTCCATCGACACTGTTGTCGGTGATAAGCGACGTTCGAGTGATAGACTGTATCATCCAGTTGTGTGACGTTGCTGCTGCTGCCTCGAACGGGAAGAAGGTGAGAGCGTTGAGAGCACTTCGACTGCTGGGGGCGGGTCGTGAGGAATCAAGGAGAGAGTGGAGAACAGGGTCATCGCACCATGGCGGCTCTTTCGTCCACCGCTGCGTCTGCTGACGTCAGCGAAGGTGAGCAGCGGTTGGAAGAGAAAGAAAGGCCTGGGGATGTTGGGCTCCGTGGCTGCGCCCTTGGATCAAGCCGGTCGTTCGGCACTGCTGTGGTTGAAGCATGCAACACACCATGCACTGCTGTAAGCGCCTCATCGACGCGGTGTGGGGTTGCACACGCCCGTTGTCCATTCCTCGTGCACCACACACTGGGGCACTTGCACCAGCACCCGTAGAGGACTTCTGTACCAGAAGAAATTACCATGAGCAACAGAGTATGCAGATGTACATGTAATCGCCGTTTTCGGCTATGATTGGCAGGCATGTCAACACCTCATGTTTTCCCCACGACACCTTGTACATGTACGCAAAACAACGATGCACATGTGCTTACTCTGCCTTGCCTCATCACAGCTTTGTGTGTGTGGTCCTTTTGTGGTGGTGTTTCTCACGCAGCCAAGAGTGGATGTCTCCCCCATAGGACCCTTGCCTGTACATGCCTGCAGCAGTATTAACGGTACCATTTGGTCAGGCTTCTGCAGGATATGCGTATGTACAGTAGGAACATTAACATTGGTGCCTGGAGTGTTCAATATGTTTTCTTGCTGCGTGCCTGCGACGTTGTAGTTGTAGACCATCGGCGGTATGAAAGTCGACCGGCATCAGTCAGTATCTCACGCGACCAATTAGGCAACAACCCTGTGTCTTAGTTTTGCATTTTGTTTCCCCTCGTGCGCATCAGAGAGGGGTAAGGTGGTGGTGAGCCTGCTGGACTATGGCGCGGGAAACGTGAGGAGCGTTAGGAACGCCATCAAGGCTTCGGGGTGAGTCGGTCCGCTCGCCTCCTCTCTCTCTCTATATATATATATATCTATTTCTCTTTCGTTCCCTTAACATTCAAGATGAAAATTCTGTTAAACGGGGTTGCGGAAGAGGAAGCGGCTGCGAATCGATTCTCAAGTACATCCATGATGTTTCGAGGCCGAAAGATCGAAAACGATCTTCCGGCTCATGACTTCCCGACCTTGAATGTCTTATAGACAGACGATTCTTCATGGAGCAAGAGCACGTACGTTAGCACTGAGGTGTTTCGCTGGGGGCGTGGTATCATCGAAGTCCACAGCCGGAATCAAATACTCCGCAAAGCTGGCTCCAAACGTAGTGTCGTTAACTGCCGTCCTCGCCGCAGCGGGCCACAACCCTCTGGTCGGGGAAGGAAGCCACGTAGTGGTATGCGCTGCTGCTGTACAGCGGCGCCTGAGGAGATTGAATCTGTGACGAGGAGCACAGGAGCAAAGTGGAAGATGAATGGGTTGGAACCCCGATGTGATCTTTCATAGTTGTAAACTTGCGGACACGTTTTCTTTTGTTGGAGAAGAGAACGTGTGTGAAGGTAGACGGCCTGGTGTACTGGTGGAGACAAGCCCCAACCGTTGCTCCGGGTTTACAACCACATGGATTGTTTTTTCTTGCCCAACGCTTTTGCAGCTGGTCTAATGTGTGCGCATGCCGTACGTGTCGCTGGATGCTCTTTTCGGTGGTTTTCCACGATCACACGTCAAGACTGGTTGCCCGCACCCCCTTTTGAGGGATCCGGGATGGTGACGCCGTATGGCATGGTGCATAGAAAATTCACATCAAGCGAAGGAGCTTTCGCGGTGCAATTGCAATTGATGCATCGTGATGAGATGCGACGAACGAACGCCGTGTGACATGTGTGGCCTCGGTGACCGTTGCAGGTACACCACCGTCGACGTGCTCACCCCTGAGGACATCGAGAAAGCACAGGTGTGTGGCGCCTGGCAATTGATGTTTGAGCGGACACACGGTTCGTTCCACCGAAAAAAATGTTGTAAAAGTAGGGGTTTTGTTTTGAGGTTCAAGGTTGCCGTCCATGGGCTTCGCTGCCCCTCGGCTCCACACCCCACCGGCCCCAACAGGCTGCTGGAGAGATACTTCGCGTTTGATTTTGGAGCCGATACCTCTTTCCTCTGGTTGGGTGTATGCCCAAGCTAGGATCTGTTTCGACGTGACCATGGGCATGGATCCACTGCTGTGCTCTCCAAGCCCTACGATGTGGCCGTGCATGGTGTTGTATCGTACGTTGGCGTTTCATTGGTACTCACCGTATTAGTGCTTGGTCCGTTGCAGTTGACCCTTGGTCCGTTACAAAGGTGGTCGAATGGTTTGCCCGCAGGGTCATGTGGCCCGCGTTGTGCGTATTACAACGCGATTGTGTGGTGCGCCAGGGTATTGCGATCCCCGCACGTCTTCGTGCTTGGTCCTTTGCGAGGTCGTCTCGCTTCGCGCGAGAGTCGGAACGCACGGCAGGGACGATTCGTAGCAGGATGGCTGGCTGGCTGCCACGGTTGCCATTCCGATATCAACGGCTATCGACGGCTGCGGCAAGAGGTCCGTCCGTGACGGTAGTTTCCTGTTGGGGAGAAATTGTTTCGGTTGCAAACGGAGACAGCTCGGTTGTAAGCGGACAATTGCGGCGGCGGATGATGCCGTGCTGGTGTTGCGTGGGCCTGCTCTTTCAGTGCGATGTTGCCAAAGGAGGACGTGGATGCGTCCGTGCGGTGTTGGTTCAACTTCGCTTCGGGGGAACGACTGCGGTTGCATACTCAGGCACATGCTTCTATGTTATGGCGGAATTTGAATGTCCGGCGAGTGTGTAGCATCACACACGCCAGGATACGCGCATGCATACATGTGCGTGAGGCACAAGGCATGTGAATACGATCGTCGTGTGATTTTTCTGTGGCCATGTATGTGTTCGCGTGGCCGCTTTGTCTCAACGCTTGGACGAAGGTGATCGTGTTCCCCGGTGTGGGATCGTTCGGCAGCGCGATGGAGACCCTCAACGACAAGGGCTTCACGGGGCCCCTGACGGAGTACATCAAGCAGGACCGCGCTTTCTTCGGCATCTGCCTGGGCATGCAGGTGCGATGTTGGTGCTGGCCCACCAACCGCGCTTGCTCTCTTTTCAGTGGTGCAGATTGACTCGATTGGTTTACGGAGCCTGTCGCTATTTCCGTCTGGCGGCAAAGAAACGCCTTTGGAAACGGACTGCAGAGATGATCCCCCCTCTTTTCCCCTCCCCCCCCTAGTGTATTTCCAACCCCGGGTTTCGTGCTGTCTCGATCTTCGAATTAAGTCATCGACTGAAAGCTGCCGGTTGTGTTCCACCATGACGATGCTGTGTATGGTCTTGAACGGCTACTTCGAAGAAGGTGCATCGTGTGTTGTCACGCAGCCGTTGGCGTTCGCTTGTGGGAGATGCTCTACACGGCTGGTCCTCGCCTACCTTCCGGACGAGATGCCCACATGGGCGCGCAACTGGTGCTGCGCGTTCGCTTGTCTTCCCACCCCTCGCCGCCCCCGTCAACGCTTGCTGGTAACGGCTCTTGATGCCGAGTCTACTCCTGGGTGCTTTGGACGTCTTTCTTTGTCGTTTACGTCTTGTTCTTGTTATTGTTGTGGTGATGAATTATCGTTTCGATGGCAGCTGATATCGTGATTCGATTTCTTTGTTGTCGTTCATGTCGTCGTGCCTTGTCATTGTTGTGGTCACCAAGACTCTTTTCGATGGCAGCGACGAGACCCCCGGGCTGAAAGGGCTGGGCGTCATCCCGGGTATGGTCGCGAGCTTCGACCCTGCCAAGGTGTGTCCTTGATATCCGCTTTTCTTGTCCCGTTCCGATTTTGTTTTTAGAAAGTATACGTACAATCACAGTACCTTAGGGTGTGTTTTTGCCTTAAATATGTTATTTTTGGGTGTTTGGAGGACAAGTCAATGAAATATTGCCCGTCCGAGATATGTTCACAGCAGTCGAACGGACTGTGTTGCAGTCTTTACAACGGGCGGGAGAAAAATCGACTGGATATGTACTGGGCCTATCTTGATTCTAGTATTTAGCCTCAAATTATTTTCATTTTTTTTTTGTTTCGTCATGAGTGAAGCATGATATGGAAGCTGAAGAAAGCATCAAGTGGATGATTTCGGGGCGTAGGGGTCTAAGAAGCCCATCCCAACTTGGGTTTGGTTGAAAGAGGAAGTCAGAACCGGAAAAAATAAGAGCCAGTCATACCTGCGTTGGCGTGTGCACATCTTTGGTGGCATCTTGTATCGTGCTGTTGTTTTTGGTGGAAGTTTTTGAGGTATCGGATAGTATAGGTGCTGGATAGAAAACAAAGCTTTTGGGGGGTGGGGTAAACAGTAGCAAACCCGTGGCCGCAAAGGGGGTTGAAAGGTTTCTCACTCTTTCAATTTTCTATTCAGTTCCCATTGCTCATTTGCACATACATATGTTGGGCTTCCGCTGACATGCCAAAGAAAATAACCGACCGGTTTCTCAACACCAAATCATGGCTTCGTGCGTTTTATTTTGTTGTTCTTGTGAACACGAACCCAGACCGCGGTGCCCCACATCGGATGGAACGGCCTTTGCGTGAGGAAGGAGCACCCCTTTGTCGATGACTTCGACACCGACGGGGACGCGGTCTACTTCGTGCACAGCTTCCGCGCGACTAGCACGTGAGGACCCCAGAGTACGGAGGGCGACGATGTTTTCGGTGGGGCTGTGTCCTGCTGTGGGTGTGGTGGGTGTTGGTGTTGCTGCTGCTGCCATGTAGAAGTATGTGGTATTGGGGGTTTGTTTTGTTCCGGTGCTGAGATTTTCAAGTCATTATCCGACCGTGTACCGCCACCATTACTGATGTGATGGACACAACGTCATCCGTTTCGAAAATTTGATTTTCGAAGATCTTTCAACCCTGTCTCTGATGCTGATTTACGTGATCCCCATTTGACAGTGTTTCAATTCATCTTGTCGTGATCAGAAAGCTGCGGTTTTCTTGGAGCAACAAGCTCTTTTTGAGTGCACGGCCACCATCACCCCCCCCCCCCCTACGCAGCCCTTTTCGTTGTCGTATGTCTTGTTATATAGTGTTGGCCGGCATACCGACTGCACGATTGCCCGGGAATGCTACCAACACGCGCCCGACGTACATTCGCTGCCGACAAAGAAAGCATCGGTCATGACCACACATCCCCTGTTGCGATGTCCTATTCCCGGGCTGTGTTTATGCTGATCATTACCTTCTGTCGATAATTGTTGTTGTTGTCGTTGTTGTTGTTGTTGATATTGTTGTTGTTGTTGATATTGTTGATGTTGTTGTTTATTGTCAGGCCCGAGAACGAGGAGTGGGTCTTGAGCACGACGACGTACGGCGGAGGTGCGGGAGAGCCGCCGGAGCACTTCATCTCGTCCGTGCAGAAGGGGAACGTGACCGCCTGCCAGTTCCATCCGGAGAAGAGCGGAAAGGTGCTTGCTTGATTGACTGGTTGATTTTTTTGTTTTTTTTTAGGTCGAGCACCGCATGAAGAAGGAAGATGGCGAACCGCACACCAACGAGAAGATGATGCCGCGCGTGGCCTTTCTTTCTTCTGCGGGACCCCCCAAGTGTGGAGTCCAAACCTATGTCAAACCTCGTTCGGAATTGGTGGGATCATAACAAGCACACAGGCAAAGAATTGCAGGGTTTAAGGTACGCGTTGTTATTCTGTACCCCCGACCCGTGAAAAAAAATTGGTGTCTGCCGCTCGCCGTCAAGGGAAAAAAAAAGAGCTACATACGTCAATGCGTGACAAGTGTATTGTAGTGCCCGCCCTCGCCGCATTTGCTTCCCAAACCCTTTGCGTCCAACGTTTGTTGTTGTCGTATCGGATGCTTGCCATTCATCACGAATTGGTCACCTATCAACGTTTTCTGGCACAGGTCGGTCTCCGTCTCCTGGGAGCGTTCCTGGATTCTGTGGGAAAGGGAAAGATGGGGGGCGTTTCGGCCGAGGGGAGCGGGAACAGCAGCGGCGGCGGAGGAAGCGCCAGGGGGAACGAGGACACCAAGCTGGTGAAGAGAATCGTGGCGTGCTTGGATGTCAGGTACTGCTATGTGCTGCCTCTTGATTGTGTTTTGAGTGTTGAGAGTGTATTGGGGGTTCGTTGTTGTAAATTCGGGACAGGTTCTGGATGAGGTCTTCTTTTCTTTTCCCCTGTCCTTTGCAGAACACGTGGCTTCTCGGGCAGATACTCGACCAAAAGCAAACCAACGCGAGTGTCTAACGGGCAGAGAGAGACGAGGGAAGGGGATGGGAGGGAGGGCGGGAGGGAGGAAGGACCGAATCCCTGGGTGTGGTGCCAAGTTGTGGCGTTCCTGGTACGTGGGACCGCGTGCCGTGGCTCGATTTCGCGGTTCCCCCAACAAACTTGCACGGATAGGCAGATGCCATCAGTGACTCGTGGTAATCTAGATATGATTTTGTGCAATATACAAAGGTACTATTGAATCATCGAGAAACCACCGCGCTTGCTTCCGCTCTTATTATAGCCAATATCAAGGCCACGCCGTCTTGTGTTTGCAAACCGCAGCCTCTGCCCCAACCTCGCTTCCGTTTTGTTGCGCGGCTCCGTTCACCTCGCTGTGGTTGCGTTTCGAACTTCTGTTGTTTGTGACTTTAGGCACTGTAAAGAGTTTTTATGCAGACAGTTTCATGGTGCCGGTGCCCCTCTCCCTCTCCGTGTGCACTTTCTGTTGCTCCCACGCTCTCAGGTCCAACGACCAAGGGGACCTCGTGGTGACCAAGGGAGACCAGTACGACGTAAGGGAGGCGGGGACTCAGGAGGGGAAGGGGGACGTCAGGAACCTCGGGAAACCCGTGGAACTTTCCGGGAGGTACGTACGGATACCTGGGTTGTTTTTTTCAGATCCCGCGTGTGTGCTTGCGACGTTGCCGGGGGTGCAGCCGGGTTTTGACCGCATCGCCTGAACTATGGTTTTACCTTACCCACCCACTTGCAGTGTGTTTGATTCGTTCGGGACCGTTGGGCCTGTATTTGTCTTCCACCACCGGAAGGGCAATTGACGGCCCGCTGTTACTGTTTTAATGTCCGTGGTGCCATCTTTACTACCAAGTGGTAGACTGTGGGTAGGGAGAGGATGCGTTCTGTTTCGTATCGCGCGCGGTACCGTGCTATTTATGCTATGTATGCTTCCGCCGTGACGATGGTTTCTGCTCATGTGCAGGCGAGGGGAAAAGCTTGGTGGGGTGGTACTTGGTGTGGTACTTCGTATCGGCTTCGCTCTGTGGTTGGTGGTGTTGTGAACAGCGGTGAAAAAGAAGGTGGTGCGAAAAACCGTCGTGTGGAAGACCGTGGTGTGAGCAACCGTCGCGTGAAAACCCATAATAGTGTGAACGAATGTTGGTGTGAACCGTGATTGCCGCAGGTACTACGAGGAAGGGGCCGATGAGGTTTGCTTCTTGAACATCACGTCCTTCAGGCAAGGGGTGCTCGACGACCTCCCCATGCTCAAGGTGCGGATGCATGCATTCGTGCCTGTGGATGTCCGGTCGCTCGCGCACGCATCGTTCTTGCATACCCCCCGATGATGTGACCGTATTTGGTGTTCAAGCACAGGTTTCCGTAAGAAAACGGGGTACGGTAATGGTATACCACCGTTGGTCACGCAAAGCATGCGAATGGCAGTCTTCGTTTCCAGGTCATAGTGGGGAAAAGACCAAGCACCGCTTTTGCGCACACCTTGATGTCTTGCGCGTTTTCATCTTCCCGCTTTAGATTCAACACAACACGACATGCGGACGGCCAACTTCCTTTCTTCTATTTTTGTTTTAGGTGCTGGAGCTTTGCGCGCACCTTGATGTCTTGCGCGCTTTCATCTTCCCGCTCTAGATACAACACAACACGACATGCGGACGGCCAACTTCCTTCCTTCTGTTTAGTTTTTAGGTGCTGGAGCTTTGCGCACACCTTGATGTCTTGCGCGCTTTCATCTTCCCGCTTTAGATATGTACAACACAACACGACATGCGGACGGCCAACTTCCTTCCTTCTGTTTAGTTTTTAGGTGCTGGAGCTTTGCGCACACCTTGATGTCTTGCGCGCTTTCATCTTCCCGCTGTAGATATGTACAACACAACACGACATGCGGACGGCCAACTTCCTTCTTCTGTTGTTGTTAGGTGCTGGAGCTTTGCGCGCACCTTGATGTCTTGCACGCTTTCATCTTCCCGCTTTAGATACAACACAACACGACGGCGGACGGCCATTTTCCTTCCTTCTGTTTTGATTTTTTATTAGGTGCTGGAGCTCGCATCCGAACGCGTGTTCGTCCCTCTCACCGTGGGAGGAGGCATCAGGAGCCACACCGACGACTCCGGGAAGGTGCGTCTGGGAGCCAGCCGTTCCACGGAACGGCTGCTGCCTGTGCCGCGGAATGATACCGTGGATCGGCAGCATGAGGACACATGTGGCTACGCAGCAGACCCGGTTCGGTTTTCACGGTGGTGGAGCATTGTTTACTCGTGCTGTTTTTTGGCACTTGTCTACGCGATTGACAGCTGGCGGTTAGAATAATTGTCGGGGGACCGCACGAAACAGAATGAGCGACTCCCTTTTCGGGGTCCGCGACACGTACGGTAGCAGCGCCTTAGCACACACCGCCGTGGCGGTTGTGTTTTTGGCAGGCTCTCTCTCTCTCTCTCTCTCTCTCTCTCTCTCTCTCTCTCAAGACTAAGACTCGAACCTCTTTCTTTTTTGGTAGAAGGATTTCAGGATTTCTGTACCGTGGTCCCTCTTTTTTCTCCCTCCCCACAACAGTTTTCGATGTGGGTACCCTCACGACGTGTGCCCTCATTGTTCAATTCAGTGGTTGTGAAAAGTATCTACCCACGATTAACTTCTCCCTTTCGTTGGTTGTGGTGCGTTTGCCAATGTTCCTTTGTGTCTGCTCTTCCTTGCTCGTGGCGGTCGTGTTCCAGACGTACAGTGCCGTCGAGGTGGCATCCCGCTACTTCAGGGCCGGCGCGGACAAGATCTCTCTGGGCTCGGATGCCGTCTACGCCGCGGAGGTGTGTCTGGCCTCTCTTTCGTGTCACCGTTGTCGTTGTCGTTGTTGTCGTTGTTGTTTGGTGGTGGTGGTTGCTGCTGCTGCTGCTGCTGCTGCTGCTGCTGCTGCTGCTGCTGCTGCTGCTGCTGCTGGTGATGCTGGAGCTGATCCTGCTGGTAGTAGTCAGTGTCTCGGTCGACGGCCCGCAGCAGCTTTTTTTCCCTCTTCTTTCAACACAGTCGGTACGTGCGATTTACCATATTTTTGGCATGTTTCTTCACCAACACGTGGACCCGAATCAAATTCAAATAATTTTCTAGCACTAGCGTTAACACCCCTCAACCCCGACTTGTGGCCACGTTGCCACCCCCATGAGTAGCCATGCCAATCGGCCTCTTGCCTCTCGTGCTACTTGCAGAGTGAAAGTACTTCGTCCATGGTGGCGTTTCGGCGTATCCCTCGAGTGGGCACTACAGAGCGCACCATCACCTACTTGTGTTGCCTTAAGCTGATTTGGAAGACTTGTTGCGGCGTTCGAGAGTCCACTGTGTGGTTGAAACACCGCTGGCCTTCGTCGCCTAGTACATCGATGCTTCGACTTTCCGGTTTGCTGCACGCAGCAGCTGGCTATTTAGCACTTCGTATCAAGTTTCAAACACTTTTTTTTTGTCAATGACGAGACGGTTTTCACGAGCTGCTCTCTCACGCCGGCGTATACGACCCCACAGGCCCTGCTCAAGCGAGGTGGAGAGTTGACCGGCGACAGCTCGATAGAGCAGATCTCCCACGTCTACGGAAAGCAGGCCGTCGTTGTCTCGGTGGACCCCAGGAGGGTGAGCAGGACAACACAGGGTCCCTCAATAGTGGGGTGTAGTCCCCCAATAGTGGTTTATGGTCCCTCTTATATAGCGGGGTGTATTCCCTCAATAGTAGGGTTGCACTCCGGTGTAGAGTGACGACCGGGATCAGCGCCGCACTGCTGCTCAGTATCTGTCCCATGGGTATGTTGCGAGTTTTCGTCTCTCCATTGAAGAAATTCAAAATAGTGCTGCGTGGCTTTCCCCGTGTTGATGCTGGCTGAAAAGCCCAGAAACTACATGCGAACCACGGGTGTAAACCCCTGAGCTGACGTACAGCAGCACGCTTCGTGCATGTGCAACCGATACCCTGAGGGACGTGGTGTAGGGTGTTGTTGAATGAAAGCCGTCTCGAAATCTCGTTTGTTTCGCATACGCTCTTGGGAGATGCCCCAGTGTCTTTCTTGTGTCTTCTTGCCTTCGGTAGTCACGTTGTCGCAGCCCCAAGAACGTTCAAGCCGTTTTATTGTCTCTGAGTGCTCTGGTTCCGTGATGCCCAAGAATAGCAAACAACTGCGCATCATTTTTGCGGTTTGTCCAGGTGTACGTGGCTAACCCGGAGGACGCGCCGAAGCACACGGTCCTCAAGGTCAAGGAGTCGGACAAGGGGGGTCCAATGGGACAGAGGTACTGCTGGTACCAGTGCACTGTCAAGGGGGGAAGGGAAGGCAAGGACATCGATGCTGTCTCGCTCGCCAAGGTATGGCATGCTGTGGCATGCTGTGGTATGCTGTGTGCTGTCTGTCTGTTGGAGGGAATGAACATGAACACGTGTGCGTGTTTTTCGTCCCATCTCTTCCGGGTGCACTATTTTGCCACCCGGGGCAGTCACAACAGACTTTTTGTTTTTTTTGCCCCGACTTGCCTTGTGGGGGCTGCCACCTGCGCAAAGAAGGATATATCCGACAATCACTGTTCTTGTTTGAGAGCATGGATGAGATGGACGAAAGGATGGGCATTACATGTTATACTTGTAGTTGCTGCTGCTGCTGCTGCTGCTGCTGCTGCTGCTGCTCCTGCTGTCGTCGTTCAGGGTTTTTCAGGTGGTGATAAAAGAGAAGAGAAGAGAAGAGACGGCCTAATTAGGATGTTTTTTTACTTGCTCGCATTCTCACCACGTTGATAGTACCTTCCTTCTGTCCATCGTTTGCTGTTGTGATATGTGGTGTTGACGCCACACGTACCGCGGGTGTCGCCCTCTGCTGGAACGGACCACGGCTCTCGGAGAGCAGAGCTGCGAGACACTCGGGGCAGGAGAAATTCTGCTGAACTGTGTCGACATGGACGGCCAGAAGGACGGGTTCGACCTGGAGCTGGTCAAGGTAACCGATTGCTCGGCATGTTTGGGGTGGACGTGTTGGTTGGTGTTCTTTCATTCGGTATGGGAGTGGGGTCTCACCCATACAGCATCATCGGCAGGGTTTTGGTTGTGTCTTGCTTCTGCTCGTCGCTGTAGCCCTCCCTTTCTTTCTTCGTTCGCCACCAAGGTCACGTGACGACCAGGAGAGCAAAAAAAATGCGGCCGGTAAGGCATATCGACGATCGAAAGTTGCTCCGCATCCGTCGTCATCTAATTAAACATGGGTGTTTTTGTTTTTTTTTCGTCGACCCTCTGAGGGCCCAACTCTATCCACTCCAAGCGGTCAAAATGTCTTGCGTCAGTGCCAGAGGTTGTCCCGGCCACTCCTGCTGACCGGTCTTTACTTTTGGCTACAGTCATGGATTTCAAAAAAAAATTCACGTGCGTATTGCCCGTGACGGCAACCACAAGACCCGGTGACGAAAAAATCGTTGTGAGGTCGAAGAAATTGCGCACATTTTTCAAGATAAACATTGGGAAAAATTCATTAAAATATATGTATCCAGGAAAAAAAGACAAAAAAGATGTGTACCCGTGCCGTTCGTTTTATGCATACACTGCTGCCAAATAAACTGAAATGGTTCAATTGTTGTCATGTACGCATGATCTGGTTGCCTATTGGTATCTGGCTTCCCGTATTCCGATTGCGGGGTCCTCCTAGGGAAAGACAATACGAAGAGACGAAATGGATTCGCATCGTGGTAGTCAGTGGACCAAGCTTCAACATGATGCAGCCATGAGCAGACGAGCACACGCGAGATTCAGCTAAAATCACTCACCGAGTTGTTCCAAATCTCATTCCCTGCGGATGTTTTGTTTTGTCTCTTTGGCGGGTGCCAAGAAGGCTGACTATACCTACGGTTCCACGCGTACAGCAGTAGTCAAGTAGCCGGACGTTTTGGAAGTAAAGGAGGGGTATTGGCGTACCTCTGTCATCGCGCCTCTCGAACGACGTGCAGAAAATATTCCGACCATGTCGATTTGTTTCCCTGCCGTCTTCCCAGGTACCACCTCCGGACCTGTGGTGTTTCACCCCCCCGAGTTCCATCCATACTTTTTATCGGATTTTCATTGTGTGGATAATGTCACACACACCCAAAAAAAATGCTCCCATCATTTCTCCTCGCAGTCGCTGCGCCTTTTTCGTTGTGTGGCTTACTTTCCCCCTTTCTTTGTTGCCCCTCTTTTGTGTGGCTTACCCTCCCCTTTAAATTGTCGCCCCTCTTTTGTGTGGCTTACCCTCCCCTTTAAATTGTTGCCCCTCTTTTGTGTGGCTTACCCTCCCCTTTAAATTGTCGCCCCTCTTTTGTGTGGCTTACCCTCCCCTTTAAATTGTTGCCCCTCTTTTGTGTGGCTTACCCTCCCCTTTAAATTGTTGCCCCTCTTGTGTGTGTGTGTGTGGGCTCTTCTAGGCTGTAATGGGAGCGGTGTCTATCCCGGTCATCGCGTCGAGCGGGGCTGGCGCCGTGGAGCATTTTTCGGAGGTCTTCGACGCGACGGGGGTCCAGGCTGTGAGCAATTTAGCTTTCGTGGTCGTACGTTCCTATTCGCCCATGAATCAATCGCTTATTTTTGGTCTCGATGGCCAACATCTTCCTGGTGCCCCGCTGTGTTGGTTGTATCATACAGCCCTCGTCCCTCCTTCTTGCCAGCATTTTTTTTTTTGCGTTGATGCGCAGTAAGTCCTTTTGGCGTGCCGGCGGCACGTAGGCTTCAAGAAACTAACAATTTTCGTGCCGATGGTCGGAGATGCGAGTTGATCGTTAACAATAGCGACTAGTGGTAGTGTGCAATGGTGTTTCTCAGTGGTCGCACGTTCCTTGCGTCAAAACGCAGCACGTGCAGCGTGTGGAGGAGCCCGCGTGGGTGTTTGCCTCCACGTCCCGAAGGTGTTGTTTTCGAACATTGCGTTGGGAGAAATCCGCACTTGTCACCCCTAGGTTTTCCAACCGTGGTCGATGCACGATTCCTTCCCAATTTTCGCTGGGCGGCTCTTTCTCTCCCTTTCCGTGTTGCTTTTGATGTACGTCAAGCTCCTGTGTATGACATTTTTTTCTCGGCGTTGGGTATTGTTATGCCCTGCGTTTCCTCTCGATTCAACTGAACCGGTTGCGACGTCCGCGATACGCCCGCCGGTGGTTTTTTGCATAGAACCTGCGAAGCACCGTTTTGTGTGTGTTGTAGTCATATTTCGATGTGTGTTTCTCAATGCTTGTGTTCGTTGGTGCAGCCTTTCCTGTCTACTACAACTGCCTTGGTTCGATTATCACCTGTAGGATACTTCAACGATTCCTCCGCCTCCTCCCGCTCCCATTGTTGTCTCTCATCAACGTATTTGTTATTTTCGAACACAGGCGCTCGCCGCTGGAATTTTCCACCGCAAGGAAGTTTCCATATCGGAGGTTAAAGACCACCTGGCGGAGAAGGGGGTCCCGGCTAGGAGAGCCGCGTGAAGTGAAGCGGTGGTAGTTTCACCGCATGGTGGTAGAGTAACAGTTCCACCGCAAGTGGTAGAGACCAACACACCCCCGCTTCACGCGAATATAGCAGTGTCACCACAAGAGGTGATGGCAAGATATGTAGCAGTTGCGTCGCATTAAGTGGTAAGAGACCCGGTTCCCCCGCTTCGAGCGCGAAGCATGAACACGCCGCGGACGACCGAGCTCCACCGCGTGAAGTGCAAGAAACTTGAAAAGTCCCGCCGCGTGGCGCTACAGCACCGCAGCCTGTTGGTGGCGCTCGGAGCTCCACCATGATTCGAGCAAAGTTCAGAACATCTCCAGAGAGGAGTGGTGTCGGAAGAGGGCGGCCTTAGGCTAGACTTTCGATTGTTTGTTAGGTGCTGTCGTAGAAGGCATCCGCCGATGTGGGGTACGCCGGCAAGTGCGAAACGACTTCTGAGAGTCGCAGTACGTTAACAACATTGCTTCCCCCGGTGGAGATAACCCAACTAATTGACCCAGCGGTGTGTGAGATGCCAGTATTTTGCTGAGCCGGCTGCCGGGCGGGCGTGTCCGTCGCCTGGGTATCCGGCCGGTAGGCATTCGTTGCCGATGCGTACAGCCTGGACCGATGTCCCGGAGTTTGTTTGCTGGGTTGAGAGCAGGAGGAGAGGCAACAGCGATGTCGCTAAGATTTAGGACTGGGTATTGATTGGCGGTGCCCGTGATGTCTTCTGACCATTGCGAGGTGTGATCAAAGTGGTGCATATGAACTCTCGGGAGAACCTCAAGGGGGTTGGTTGGGTCCTGCGGGTGTGATTGCAACTGCGAAATCGACATGTTCTTGTTAGGAACGACGCCCAGCGGTTCCCGATTATGCTAGCGTCCACTGACAACGGCAGTCCAGTGACACCAAAGCCTGAGCCTCCCTCATATTTTTTCTTTTTGTCTTCACGTCAAATCAGAGCGCTCACAGCACTATAATAATAGTGCCGTGTACTCCAACCCGTGGTCACACAGAAGAGCCCCTCTCTACCCTCCCCTCCTGCGGTATGTTGCCTTCGACTTTTAATGCGAGAAGAGTTCAGCACTCTCTTCCCTCATACCCTCGTTAATTTCTGCCACGCGGATCTCCTCCACTGCGTGCTGTGGCAATGCATATGCATAACAAAGAAGAAACATGTTTTGAACGGAGTGGAACCCACCACAGAACGCCTGTGTCCTTTTCTAACCGAGTTTTTCAACAAGCGTCAATTCGGCCGTATGCAGTGGCGATGAAAACCTTCCGTTACGGCTTCAACGTACCCCACCAGGAAGTAGGTAAATGTCGTGGTAGGCTGTCAAAGGATGTCACGCGTTTGCCCCAAAACCCTCTGCCGCTTGAACGAGTTGGTAGCGAGTGAGGGCCCGGCCCGTCCACGTCAAGTTCAACCTGATATGCATAGCACCGCATATCAAACAATTTGACCGGTCAGGGCCCCCTACTGTAAACGGCTTGATTTCAGTTGCCAGGTCTCCGGCGCCAATCACCGAACCTCGTGTTTGTTGGACTCGGCCTACCGAACTATGGGCACATTCAGGCTCAGAGAGAGAGAGAAGAGGTGCCCCCAGTGAGAGAGAGAAAAGGTGCCCGAAGTGTTCTGATTGGCCAATATTTTTGGAAGGAGATTCCTGCTTGCTGTTGTAATCTGACTTCCTACCGCGGATCATGTACTAGAAGTACTGGATTGGATAAGGCATCCTACCTCGGACGGTGGTCCCACCCATCCATCCTTCGTTCATCAGCCACTTGACAACACAACTTTGGCTTCAGGGGTCCTCCAGTGGTAACCTTTCGCAACGTTCTTCCAAGGTTGTTGCGGTTTCGAATCTCGATGGAGTGAAGACAATGTGCAACATTGAAGTGAAAGCATCTTCCGGAGTACAGAGTCGTTCGCGAATATTCCACACATACATGCCCAACGGGGCGGAAGGGGCAGCTAAGCCCATTGCCGAGATAATCGATTGAAGGCAACCACCGAACAAGCAAAGGGAGTTCTTCCTTGTGGGAACCTGGCTGCATGGTGTGGAAGATGGCACACCCAAGACAATGAGGAAAACAAATATGTTGGGAGGCTCGTTCACTGTCCAACTTGTCGATATCCCTTACCATCACTAATCCACGAGGCTGCCGTGAGATCTGGACAAGCCCGTGCCCTGAGCCCTGGGGAGCACCATCAAGTGCAGAATGAACTAAAAATTGTGCATACATATGAATCGCCTACTTAGTTGGGAAGACTGCAGGATTTCACTCGTGACATATTATCGGTCTACAGTACGTGCGCAGGATTCGCGAATGAAAGAAAAAAGCGTGGCTTCGGAGCGTGGTTGAATGAATCAAGGTTCACCGGTCCTGCGATGATTCGATTGCTGGAAAAAAGGTCAAGGGTTCGGGATGATAGGGGTTGGTTGGAAAATGCCGCACCTGGCTTGAAAATATTAGTCCGCGGGTACAATAATAGCAATAATAGCGGCCTCGACTGGAGCTTCCTCCATTTTGCCAGCGGTTTCACGAGGAAGGGACGTCTCATGAGAACTCCCAAAAATATCAGGACCAGGAATGAATGTGTTATGTTGTAGATGAAGTCACAACTATTCTGCGTCACCTCCCTCCCCCGCATGGTACCCTCGCAAAAACTATGTCGTGTGGAAGAAGAAAGAGACAGACAGAAAAGCTAATGCACCGTGTACTACTACTGTACAATGAGCACTGCAGCTGTCGTTGGACAGATCGGTGACGGAAAATGGCAAAAGAAATTAAGCTCTGTTGCGCCTTCCACAACGTGGGTAGTCTTCGTGTATAGGTAAGCTGGCTGTAATGCACATAACTAATGCGAACAAATTCTTAAGCTTGTTGTACCCAGTTGGCAAAAATATCACGAGGAGTGAAAATACATCCCATCCGACGGCACTATTATAGTACGCCCCGTGTCCCTCGACTGTTGTTACACTTACTTTTTTCTTTTTCTTCATCCCTCAAGGGAATCTACTCTCACACCGAGTGTGCGTGTTGATCATCATCCACGTCCCTACATAGTCCCGAAACAGACACCAACACCCAAGTCATGCACTACACTGCGGAGAACCCTCGTTCAGAGCAATGAGGACGTAGCGTCACCCCCCCCCTTCCTTGCCATGGCGAAGCAACAACAACAACAACCTACTTTTTCCTTCATGAGCAAGTGCCAGCGTTGAGAAGAAGTTGGGGAGAAACAAACCGCAGAAAGGAGGCGGTGAGAGAAAGAAGAGCCCCCTCGTGTGCCGTTTGTTGTGTTTTCCACGCAAACAAACAAACACGTGGTGCCGGCACACCACAACCCCCCTCCCCTCCTTGCTCTACATCAATTCACAGCCGCCCGACTCTGCCTCGTTCACCAGGCGTCAGTGCCCCCAAATTCCGCCTCGATTACCAAACCCATCGTACTGTGTCTGCCGTTCGTTGATTCGACACCTTCCCGAAAAACGCACGCCCAACCGGCGAAAAACACAACGAGCCGGGGTTGGAGCAACACAGCGAACCCCCCGACAGCCCACGTCTGAACGACCAAATACAACCCAAGCGCGTGATCTACTGCCGGCGACGACCTGCTGACCCGCCCTGTCGCCGGTATCAAAAACAAAGAAACACGAATGATGACTTATGTCCCTGCCGACAGTTGACACGTCCTCGCAGATACACGCATCCCAAAACAAGTATCATCGGCATTTGCCACACGGCAAGCAGCCGTGGACCATGACAACAAGAAAGTCACCAACGACGTCAACAACAACAACATCTGTCTCGCTACCTCACAACCAACCGCCCCGTTAGATACACAGCTAAAGATAGATAGATGGCTCCTTGAGCAGACAAAAACCCGGTCTTTGTTGTGACAAATCACGAAAATCAAACCCCGAAACCCTTGTTTCAATGTAAGTGCCTCCTCTCGCGCCATGCTACAGCGTTTCCGACCTGGTTCTCTCGCATCAACATCATCCCGTTTTGCCCCATGGCTTTTCCGATTCAGTTGCCGGGGGACGGGGAGAGGCGACGGTGGTTGAGGTCTAGAAGGGTTGAGTCCAACTTGACGTGAGTCCGTACGACATTCATTCCGAAGACGGACTTGTAGGCCGGTCAAGCATGGGAAGGACAAAAGGACGACCAGAATTTCATCGCCACCACGCAAGGCAGCAGCAGAAGCAGCAGCAGCAGCGGCAGTAGCGGCAGCGGTAGCAGCTTCAACAACAACAACAACAACAACAGCAACAACACCTACACTTTCCACAGCAACAACACCCAACGAATCGAATTGAGCACGCCCAATCTCATCGCTGGCTCGCCCCATGTGCTAACAAGCCACAGACGCGTAAAATCGGAGGTAAACTGCCTACATCTACGCCCCCCCGCCCCGCCCCCCGATAAAAAAAGTCACCTAAAACGCTTGGGGGTGGCAGATGAAGAAGGGCGACGCCTAACGGCGAGCTCCTCGGTTTTGGCTGGCACCATCACCCCACACAGACCACCACAGACACAGAAGCAAGCCAGAGGGAGAACAAACAACCGACCCAAAGAACCGAAAGGAAGATGAGAAGAGCCAAGACAGACAACGTGGAGGACGACTGGGCGACGAGATAGAGAGAGAGAGAGCAAGGGAGAGAGACAATGCATACAGCCCAGAATGATATGATGATGACACTCAAAGAAGAAAACCACCAAAATACCAACGAACGAACGAACGAACGAAGATAAAAAAAAGACGGAGATGATGGATCACGCCATGCCCACGAGGGAGGGAGAAAGCGGAAACCCCGCGGAGACACCACGCACGCACGCACGCATGGAGAGAGGAAAGGCCAGAGAGGCCCACCTACTAACCGGGGAGTTTTTCGACTCAGGAAGCAAAAGAACAAACGGGGGGGGGGGGGGGGGGGGGGGGGGGGGGCCCCCAAA